CTTCTACCCCCACCCAGACCCACCCCAGCTCTAGCCAGCCGGAAATCCTTCCTCTCTCTCTAGATTTCCTTATTCTGGAACCTGCAGTCTTTTGACAGATGTACTTGCTGGGAATACCAGAGAAGTTGTTTCATACTAAGAAGAGTTGGCAAAGAAAATGAGATTAGGTAGACTCAGGTAATACGGTCTTGATTAATCTGGGTAAATCCTTAATTTTTTTTTACACTTCTGACAGTAAAAAATTTTGTATCTGAGTTTCTATCATCTATATTTTTGTTACTCAATTTTTGTATCTGAGTTTCTATCATCTATATTTTTGTTACTCAATTTTTATTTTAGTACCACAAAATCAATAAAAAGGAAGACATGCTCAAAGTACTCCTGTTCAAAATCAATTGATTTCAGAAACCTTAGTTTCAAACTCTGGAAAGTTCTATTTCCAGTCCATCTCTTTCATTTTTCCCATTCTATCCAATCAACACTTGCCAAACTTGACTATCCTTTCCAGAAAGGAGGCATTTACATCAGAAAACTTTTAGGTGTGTGCTATTTGCTGTTGAATGCCATAAGAAGCAATTGATTCAAACTTGCCATCTGTTTGGTTTTTTTTTTTCCCTAAATCTCTAATATGGAACACACGTCCCTAAAATTACACCTATTCAGAGGATTTTTATGAAGAAAATTGCCTTTCGTTCTGATGGGGTTTGCATTATTCTTTTACAATGGTGTAGCCTAACACATTAGTAGCAACTCTCAATTGGTATCCGTTTAGCTGCCAACATCAAAAAACAATTTTAAGTGCATGAAACCTGAAGATAAAACTGGGCCAAAATATGATGTTACCTTCCCATTTAAAGTAATCAATCTCATAATATCTAATAATGTATATCAATAGGTCCTATTTACATCCCCAAATGCACGTTTTAATCTTCTTCTTCTGAAACATATATGCTTTATACACAATACAAAATAATTGTTTTTGTTATTTGCATTGTACTAAATATGAGGATGTAATAGACAATGCACTATTTTGTGTTTGAAAGCTTTCCCAGTGATTTTGTCTTTTGCAATTGCTCCTTTGTTTTGCCATGTTCTGCTGGACTTGTGATCCACTGTTCTGAGTGTCACAAATAGCCCACTCCATTGCTCTCTTTGACACAGCACAGTTAAGTTTAAAAGGCAGTATCACATTAGACAAAGATTGTGGTATTAGAAAGTTCAATGAACTTGAAGAGAAAGTTAAGAAAATTTAAATGAATAAATCAACAAGATAAGGCAGGGAGATATGTGTGCTTTAAATAGTCTGCTAATAAGACTCAGTGAAAGAGAGAAAAAATGGTTTGAACAAAGGTTCGAAGACATACAAAAGGAGAAGAACATACCTTATGATTTCATTTATATGAACTTCTAGAACTGGCAAAAATAATCTAAAGTGATAAAAGTAAGAAAATGGTTGCTTAGAGTTGGTGGGGGGTGACTACAAGGAACATTCTATATCTGCACAGGTGTGTATTATTTTCATCAAAACTGGGCAAACTATATTTAAAGCATGTACATTTTATTATATGTAAGTCATACTTCATTACAGTAGATTTTTTAAAAGTCAAAGTAGTCAGTAAAGGGTGACCATTGTGTTTGAATGTGATCATATTTGAATGAAAGATACCTCCTTCGTTTTAAATATGAAATATCCATGCCTTTCCAAAGAAGTAAATTAAGCTCTTTTGTAATGTATTCCTTCTGCTCAGGATTGAGTACTGGCATTTTAATGATGACTCTTAGCCACCATAAGAAAGGCATTTCTTTGATAGACCTTCTACTTTAAATGCCTGCTTTTTCCCTATAATTTCAACTGAGGAGAAATAAAGCAGCAAACTTATCCATTAAATCGTTCACAGGATGCTTATGACTTTTAAAACACGATTTTGAATTGAAACTACTGTTTTATAATATTCTTTCTCAGGGTAGGCTGAAAGGAAAATAACAATAATTTTTGTAGGAAAAGTAAGATAAAATCTGTCTTGAACATCCACAAAATTGCCCTTAATGTCACTTTATAAATCAGTTATAAATAGCACCAGAAGTAATAGGACTGCACGTGTGAAATCGAAAGACAGTGTATGCACTATTTTTGTAGGAGGGAATTACACAGTGTTTGGATTAATACATAGAGCTAGGTTGTGGCCATCTTTCTTTTCTGTCTAGAGTCACTAGCCTACAAAGCAGAAAAATCTATCAAAGTCATGGGGGAATTTTAAAGATAACAGTTCAGCAAGACGGATAGAAACTGGAAATGACAGAATGTTGATAATAAAATATGCCTCAGATTTATGTATATAAATAACTGAAAGAAAAAGACTGAGAATGTATGGTAGATGCAAAAAATTACTATAAAAATGCCATGGCTGTGGGGCAGAGGCAAAGCAAGTGGGGCTAAAGAGAGAGAAAGAAATTGAAAAAAAGTTTTATTTTTGCCTAAGGTATTCCAGACTTCTTCAAAATTAATTAAAATTTTAGAAATGTATGCACAAATGTTGGAAACACCAGAAAATGTATTTTCAGTTGATAGATCCAGAAGTAATTTTTTATTCTTATTTTTAATTTTTTAGGATTTATTTATTTATTTATTTGACAGAGAGAGGTAGCGAGAGCAGGAACACAAGCAGGGGGAGTGGGAGAGGGAGAAGCAGGCTTCCCGCGGAGCAGGGAGCCCGATGCGGGGCTCGATCCCAGGACCCTGGGATCATGACCTGAGCCGAAGGCAGACGCTTAACGACTGAGCCACCCAGGCGCCCCTAGACGTAATTTTTTAAACTATAAGATTGATTGGTTTTTTTTTTATGAAGGAACAGAAATGCTTCATTATATCTGAATCCTCCCCCCCAAGGGGATGTGGACACCTGCAATAAATAAATCCTTCATAAATAAATGGCACAATCACGGTCATAGCTCAGTGTTCTGATTGCAATTGTCACAGTTAACCACTAGGGGGCCGTGATTCCTTTGGCAGCAGTTCTCTGACCACAAAGGTTTTATTCCTTGCAAGGGTACTTCGACTGTTAAGTGCGAGCTACGATATTAAGTATTAAGCGCGTAGAACAGGACTATGTACTGAGCTACAGTATTAAGCAGGTAGAATAGCTCATTACTGTGTACTGAAATGATTTCATGTTTTCCTGCATTTCTATGTTTAATTTTTATTGCACAGACTAATAACTTGGCCACCAGCTTCTTCAGCAAGCATGGAATCTCATCATTACTCAAAGATTGTTATTAACTTTGTACCTCTGCTTCTTGAAATATACTAGGTAGAACCAGTTTTGTATCCCTTTTCATGAAGAAATTCTTTTTATTTACTATAGACCCCCATCATTTGATGAAAATAGAAGTTTAATGTGATCATGTGTTCTCACATATTTGTTTCATAAATCTTTGTATTATTTAGAGCTGTAAGACAAGAAAATGCGAGTGTAAATTTATAATATTAAGTGTCTTTTCTGACATTTAGATTAATATAACAGCTTTTACCCATGTTATTTTTCACTAATTTGAAGTCAGAACTACTTTTCCTTTACTTTTATTAATTTACTCTTTATTTGCTCTTTCATTAAGGAGTGAAAAAAAAACAATTTGCTGTTATAGTCTGTTGTCTCTTGAATGATTAAAAGGGTAGTGACGTTAAATTATTTAAATTGTGGCTTTAAAATGTATTGCATAAGTATTTTATACTATGCATCAGATATGTTGACTTATATTGATAAACTTATGAGCAAAAAAATATTTTAATGTCTCCAAATAATATGATAATTAACATTTCTTGTGTATTTCTAATAACTCTAATGGTCTTTACATTATTTGATTTTATTTACTTGAACCAATGGAAGAATTAGTTTCGTAGGGGAGGAAAAATTCTTCCTCTACCCTGTTGGACTCTGTTACCAAGAACTGCAAATTAAACTGACAAGCGAGAGATTAACAGGAGGAAAAGTTTTATTTCATATACATATGAGGCCAACAAAAAAAAGTAGCTGGCTTGTTTAATGGTAAAGTTAAAGACTTACATACCTAACTTCGTGAGGATAAAGGAGGAGTGAGGAACAAATTCTCTGGGATAAACAAATAGGTTTCTTTAGGAAAGACAAATGGATTTTTAAGAGAACAGACAAGAGATAAGCTTGTGATAGTGTTTGTCTATACAGGTACAGGGATGAGTGGTCTTTCCATCTCCTCCAGAGCCATACAGTTCCATGGAGAGGGCATTTCTGGTAGCCTCATTCCCAAGGAATTGCAGCTTTTAGTCAAAAAGCCTTCTCTTTTAGTCAGAGGAGGTTTTTTTCTGCATATGTTGAATCTCAAGATGTCTTCAACTTAAAATAAGCTTTATACCAACTCTGGGGTTCTGAGTGGGTTCCCACAGATTTATATTTTAAGAAAATCTGTGTATTTAAAACTTTCTGGTCATGTTTTATGTGTTTTAGGGAACTTCTTAAGTTTAAAACATGTTAAATATTAACATTGTTACAGCAAATTTCTTTGCCCCACAAAAATGTAGCTGGCTAATATTTGTATTAATTTTGTCTTCAAATCTCAAATGCTGTCAATTGATACTTTTAAAATAATTGATACTGAAATGGTGATTTTTCAAACTTCCCCTTCCAGCTTCTAGTATCATTTTCGTACCTACGGGTAAAATACCATTTAACTAATTCTGGTCTGTAATGATTTTATGTGAAAAATGTTTTAACTTAATATTTGAATTATGATTTTGCTCGTTCATTTATAATACTTAACTGATATTTAATTTTCTCTTTGAGCTGCGGTACTAATGTTTGGGTTTTTTTACATTAATTTTATGCAAATGAAACTGTCTTCTGGTGCTTATAGATATCAGCCTCATTACTTTTCAGCTATGCTTTATACATGAATAGTATAAATAGTTATTCTAAATAGCACTTTACTTATAGAGTTCTCATTGCATTTTTCTAAATGTTTGTTTTCAGGGATATCATCCAATATCCATGAGCATCTATAGGCCAACCATCACCGTCCTTCAAAAATAATTGTAAGTATATCCATAAACATGCTACGGGACTCTCATTTTGCAGTAATATTCAACCATTATAGTTAGGGGATTCTTATTATTTTGGTAATGTAGACGTATTTCTGAACTAGTAAAAAATTTCCATTAATGACTTAGCATATCTGAAAAAGAAAAATATTTAATTGGTACACAACATTTTAATGCAACCTAAGAAAAACTCAGCCTATTTTATTACCAAATAACGTGGTAAGCAGACACCTTTGCCAAAGTGTTTAATCGCCACCCTGACTTTATACTAAAGAAATATCAAATAAGGTGGCATAAATAAGAATGATTAGACTAATGAAGACAAAATATGAATTTGAATTTTTCTTTTTCAGAAACTCATATCTGAGATTAGGCCATAGAAAATCTAGCTATTGTTTTCCTATCACAAATTTTTGAAAGCGAAGTCCATAAAAATATTCTTGATGGATAGATTTAAAAATCTCAGAAGGAGTAGGAGGGGAGACTGAGAACTTTGTTTCTCAAAAGGGGGTATCAAGGGCCCCTGGGTGGGGCTCAGCCGGTTAAGCATCTGCCTTCGGCTCAGGTCACGATCCCAGGGTCCTGAGATTGAATCCCACATCGGGCTCCCTGTTATAAATGTCAAAAAACACTGACCTAGAGAATGGACCACTCTGCATATTATAGGTTTCTTAAGCATGTTATTACAAGTTAGGCAAAATAGGTCAAAATTAGATCCCTTATTTTTAAGCTCCAGACTGCACAGGGAATTCTCAATTAAATTCTTGATTGTTCCTGAAGTCATAAACATGTACTTAACTCCACAAAATGTTTTCAGAATGATAGTGTTGGAGGAAGAACGGATAATGATCGTAGAGGTTATCTTACTTTTACAATGAAATTTCAGCAGACTCTTTTAGTATAAAATTAATATATATTCATTACATAAAAGTTAAATAATACAAAATAAAGTGGAAGTCTATCCAAGTTGCAGAGAGGTAAAGGATGGAATACGGTTGGGAATGTCTGCTGAACATATTATTACTGATCAAAAAATAAAAGAAGAAAACAGGGATTGTACATCAAGACAGTTGCATCAAAATGGCTGCATTAAAATGTACTACAGACAGAATGGTCAACATCAATCAAATTGTCCTGTTTTGTGATTTGATGACTCACCATTTAAGATGATGACAAAGGTTACGCTTCCTTTGTTTAATATATATTAAAAAAAATTTTGATGCTATAGGCAACTTTCCATAAAGGAAACATGAAATTCAAAAAGCGTAAAATGTAAAATCTTAAAGAGTCCCAGCAGCTGTCCTGAGAGTGCACAGGAAGTCACTCATTATCCTTTTGTGAAGATCCAAGTTTTCCCACAGGTATTTTCACTGCGTTGGTGAAATAGGTTAAGGTGGACACGCAGGTAAGTTTATACTCTCAAGCTTCAAATTGCTCACTCACACAAAGGCCACCTCATATATATCAATGGCATCGTTAAGGTAGCAATGGCCCTACAAGGTAGTAAAGACCAAGGTCAGCCTTAGAAGAATGCGACGTAAGCCAATTGCATTTTTCGTATCTCCCTTTCAGCACTCTTCTGGCCTTACCATATTGTCTCCATAATGAGTGCCCCCTGTTATTCCGCAAGGCCCCCGCACCCCTTGGTACACAGGTCTGTTGACACCTTTGTCTTCTCCAGCTGTTAATTGGAAAAGATTTGACACACAAATTCATCCAAAGCTGGCAATATCTACAAGTCCTGCCCCATCCAAAGAGAGGCCCATTTTAACATTGAAAATGTGACTCCAACAGTTGAATTCCTTGATTGGACAAAAGAGAAAACATGCCCCAAATCTTATCATGTGGGTATGTAAGCTTGTTGCCTACTTCACTTCTCCAAAAGGCTGACCTCATCAGGGCATGTTGGTGACATAAAAATGGATGTGCAACATACTTAATTATACTTAAATATAAAAAGTTAGAGTCTGGTTATTTATCATAAATAATTTTGTTAATGTTACTAAATGTGTTCATTCTCACTGTACATAAAAGAGTACTAAGAGTTTTATGATAATGTATATACATCCACAACCTCATATTCTTTGAGTTTTTGAAATGTGGGTCCCTGGTGATTTCTGTGACTATTTTAAGCTATATAAGATTCAACTGATCGGGGCGCCTGGGTGGCTCAGTTGGTTAGGCGACTGCCTTCGGCTCGGGTCATGATCCTGGAGTCCTGGGATCGAGTCCCGCATCGCGCTCCCTGCTCAGCAGGGAGTCTGCTTCTTCCTCTGACCCTCCCCCCTTTCATGTTCTCTCTCTCTCTCATTCTCTCTCTCAAATAAATAAATAAAATCTTTTAAAAAAAAGATTCAACTGATCTTTAAAAATAAAAGTCAGTTGACCTGATTTATCTCCAGCTATCATTCAAACTTAGTAACACCTTCCCTAAAGCCCTCCTTAATGCTACCTCTGCTACCATGATATATATATTTAAGGTAATGATTTAGGTAATGTATTCAATGTCTCCTGTGAAAAATGATCAGTTGGACAACTGTGCTCCTCCTGAGCTGGATACGGTTAGTAATATTAGTAAGTATTAAAGGTAAATATTATCTTTTTTCTGTAAAACCATATCAGCATTTAAAGTGTCTTCACAGAAAGGGCTCATGTAAATGAAGAAATAATGTACATATGTTGGTTCTACAATGTCATGACAGGATTTATACTTGTCACTTTTTTGACACCTTTATTGACAATTTAAGAATTTTATCTTTTAAACTTTTAATTATGTGACTTTTTGTTGCTACAAATAAATGCAAGTTCACTAAACAGAAGTTTTTTTTTTTTTTAATGTGAGTTCTCTGATATACAACTATTATTATAAAGTTCTTTAGGTTACCGAATTACTTTAATGAAAACACAGACTATAACAAAAATCAAATATTACCTACACGGATTAAACAATGTCATTATTTCACTTTGCAGTGTATTGTAGCTTTCGTTTTATTCACAGATATTTTATTTCTTGGATTTGATAAAATAATGAAATACATTTTATTGCCCTTTAACTCTTCATTTGGTTAAAGTAAATAATATATAATCAAAACTCATGAAAGGGGTACAGAATTGAGTACTAAAATGTGTGTTATCTGCAGAGAATATGCCTTTTATATCACCTACAGGAACCAACATGGTGTCTTGCACATAATATGTATTTAATGGTATAGTCAATAATTAATTCAATAATAACTATTGCACTAGTAATGATGCCTTGGGAAGATAATCAGGCATTTTTTTAGTAAATGAATATATATATATATATATATATATATACATGTTTAAAGCATAGGAAAACCATAGCCTTTAAAAAATTCCACATTCCTCACAATTTTTACTTGTATTACTATTCTAAAAATTAAGATGTGTGTGATGAGTGTGTGTGTGTGTAGGAAAAAATATATATACAGGAATATTACTCAGCCATCAAAAAGAATAAAATCTTGCCATTTGCAATCACGTGGATAGAACTAGAGAGTATTATGCTAAGTAAAATAAGTTAGTCAGAGAAAGACAAAATACCATATGATTTCACTCAAATGTGGAATTTAAGAAACAAAACAGATGAACATTGGGAAAGGGAAGGAAAAATAAAATAAGATGAAAACAGAGAGGAAGGCAAACCATGAGACTCTTTCTTTAAATTATTTATTTATGTGAAAGAGAGAGCCAGTGAGCGTGAGTGGGGAGAGGGGCAGAGGAGAAGGAGAAGCAGACTCCCTGCTGAGTGGGGAGCCTGACTTGGGGCTGAATCCCAGGGCCCCAGGATCATGAGCTGAGCCAAAGGCAGATGCTTAATCAACTGAGCCACCCAGGCACCCCCTGTAAGAGACTCTTAACTCTAGGAAACAAACTGTGGGTTGCTGGAGGAGAATTTGGGGAGAAGGGGTAATTGGGTGATGGACATTAAGGAGGGCCCTTGATGTAATGAGCAACTGTTATGTGCAACTGATGATTCACTAAATTCTACCCCTGAAATTAATAATACACTATACATTAACTAAATTGAATTTAAATTAAAAAAATTTTTAAATATATTCTAAAAATTTAAGTAGTCTTTTATAATACAATTGAACTCAAAAACATGGCATTAATTAAGTACTTAAAGAAATATTTATTGGTTTTAATAATCCAACTGAGCAAATTGATAATTTGAAAACTATATACCATACATATTTTTCACCCTGACTAGCCTGCACCAAAATCAACAAGGTTGGCAACATAGGTTAGAATGTCCACATTCTAAAATATTTCAACTTTTCAAAATAAGTGAAAGTTCATTTTATTTTGGAAAGGTAACTAGCCAAGCAGTTTCAAAGTAGAGTTACATGTCCATTCATACTAGATCACGGTAGTAAAATAATTTTTTCTATGTGTGTCTTCTGTTTTTGAACATACACCTTTCAAAAATATGCTTGCACTTTTAAATTATACATTTTGAAAATACTCATATCTCCTGAAATATAAAATATGGGAGTAACTTAAGTAACTACAAGTAAGTTAATACATGTTGTATTAGAAGCTATCATTATCAAGGAGTTTATGACATAAACAATGTTGATTTTTTTTATTTCACGCTTCTAAAATATTTATTAATCTTAACTTTAGTGCATATGGCCCTCATTTTAGAAATGACACATATCTTTCAAATAAAATGCAGATATTTTAATGATACAAAATTTTTATGTGTTTTATGAAATGAATATTTGCATATTTGCATTGTTTCTATCACATTTTACTCTTATTTGAAAATTCTTTTTCCCCCACCAAAATTAAACACATGACCCAGACAAGTAATACATGGTATATGTGAGCTTGCTAACAATCGCTTAATGAAATATTCTCTCTTTGTATATCTAGGTACCGTTGTTCGTTTAGCTTTCTCAAAACTAAGTATCTTTATTTGTATCTTTGGAGATACTAGTAAGCTAATACTAAACTAATAAACAGAT